GAACTTACAATTCCAAATGTGAGAAGAAATGAAGAAGAAGTTGAAAGGGCAAGTGAGGGAGACATCAATCAGAATCCAAAGAAGGTAAGAGAGCTGTATGTAATTTTAAGAGAAAATTTTGGGTAAATATATAAATGAGAATTCTGATTTCTTTGGGATAGTACAATGAGTATAGTACATTAACAAAATGAGCATTCTTTGTAATAAACATGTTTATATTCAGTGAATTACGTGTTGAGTATTAAAATGAGTTAATGTTATACTACAATGATTATTATTTTTTATAATAAATGTGTTACAATATGAAGTGATTATATTACATGTGTTGGTTATAAAACATCTACGTATAAAATTTTAAAAAATAAAAGAGGAGCAATATTATCATATTATACATTTGTGGTAATGGAATGAGCATTGGTTGGAATAAATTGTTTTCATATGAGGTGGAATGCATTACTGTTATAGTAAAATGATTAAAAATGGTTATTATGGTTATAATAAAAGTGTTATATGATGTAGTATTTATTTTACATGTTTGGGTTATAAACAATATGAGTATAAGATTTTATAAAGTGAGCACTATAATGTTTTAGTTGAGCATACAATAATGAATAAATTTGTTTGTAAATTAAAGCAGGATGCAATCAAGGAATTTGCTTCAGCAGCAAAACATTTGGCTGAAAGCATGTCAAATTTTGATGAGAAATTTCAACAGGCTGCACAGGCTTTGCCTGATGATGAAACCATGAAAGCGTTGCTTGGAAAAGTTCATGGGCTATTCAACATCTATTCCACACAACCACAAACAAATGAAAAAGGAAAAGAAATCTCAATGTCACAAGATGATGATTTCTGGACCGAAGATGTACTGAAAGCGGTAGAAACAATTGAAAATGCGCAGAAGAAAAGGATTGATAGGAAAACATTCATACAGTATGAAAAGCCGAGTTTAAGACTGCTATCCCAGGAATCAAATGAGTCTCCAATCACAGGGCAACATAGAGAACAGGAGAATGAGGGTACAACTGCTGTTGACCAAAAAGATCAAATCAATGAGCATCAGGGAGTTGTAAATGAGCAACAAGAGAATGTTAATGAGCAACAAAAAACCTTGAGGAGCAGAATGACCAAAGCAGCCCAGAGGATGAAACAAGGGTGCATGAGTCAAGCAGTACAAGTGATGAAATCACTGATAAAGTTTCTGAAAAGGGAAAGAATATTTGCATGGAAAATTAAGATGGTGAGCAAAATGTATTGAAGACAAAAAGAAATGTGATGCCTGCACCTGCTTTAAGTCACCAATTGTGAACAGAGTTACAGAAATTAAGGCACCACCAACCATCGAAGAGATCAAGGTAGCTCAATTTGTGTTTAAGGAGGGCACCGATAAAAAGTAAGTAATTAAATACTTCTCATAAACAATTATTATATATTTAATGAAGAATGCATAATTACTTCAGGCTTTTAGGCTCTTGGAATTTTGTGAATTGTGAGTAAAGTTCGAAATTAGATGTCTGACATGATTAAAGATTGTAAGTTTGTGATTTAAGATTGTATTTTGGATCAAATAAGCATGCTGCATGCGTCCCTTGTTTGAAATTGTATAGTTTGATGATATGGACCGGAGAATAGTAATTGTATTTTATCATTCTATATTTTATCATTTTACTAAATTATTGTTCTTCATTGTCCAATCTTAATGTGCTAGCTTAGATCTCAATCTGTTTAAATTGTCAATGGAATGTTCATTGCATTTTAACAATTTGATGCCCTGTGCATGTGACTAGAATGTGCTGACTGTTTGTTTGTTTTTAAACTCATTAGTGATGTGTTATACAAAGATGGAGATGTTGTTCTTTCAAAAAGTGAGTTCGAGAGTCTAAATATAAGCTGTAAAGTGAATTCACGACTGATAGACGTGTGGGCAATGATTTTGAACAACAACGAGACTCTAAGAAGCGATGAACCAAGGAAAAGATTGATTTTCACAACAACACCATGTGTAAGAATTATGGATTTACATATTTTTTTATGAATATATTTGAAAGAAATTTATTAAATTAAATTATCTATTTATAGAGAGTGTTGGAGGAAAATCAGTTGACTGCTCCACAAACAAGAAGCAAGAGATTTGTTGATGCTACAAGGACCCAATTCACCAAGCAAATGCCAAAAGTGAGAAACATGGATGTGTTTATTTTCCCAGTTGAACAAAGTGGAAGATACTACGTGATGACTTTTGATTCAAAGTACAATAAGTTATTCATCATTGATAGCTGTGATGCAGAAATATCTATTAAAATGAAGTATCTTTTGCAACCAAACCATCTTGTAAGTGTGAATATTATTGTTCTTTTAAATGAGTACTGTAGCTATTCACAATGAGCATTATTTCATATTTATTGAGCTTTATTATAAGAAATGTTTATTATAATTTTTTTTATATTTGCAGAAAAGTGATGTATTGAAATGGCTTAAAGATGAAAAGCATCCTCAAGCAGACAAAGTCAAAAACATGAAGCCAGAAGTTTTAAAAATGGCATGGCACAACAAGAATAATAAAGCAAATGAAGGAGTGTACGCGATGAGACACGTGGAAACCTTCAATGGAGAGAGTGATTGGGACTGTGGTCTATTCAAAGATAATGTAAATACACATTAGTTTATGAAGATTTAATGCAATATCAATAGTGTGTCAAAACAACATAAGCTAATACTGACATATTGTAATTGTGCAGGAAAAGCCAATAAACATATTGAAGGTCAAGTATCTGCACAAAATGCTCACATTTCAGAAGAATGAAGTAAGGATGGAGGTGATGGAAAGAGTGAAAGAAAACAAACTGTTCTGAATGTAATCAACAAAAAATTATTTAATGTGCAGTAGGGGTGTAAATGAGCCAAGCGGCTCGTGAGCCGCTCGAGGATCGCTCGGTCAAAGCTCGAATCGAGTTCGTCATAAACAAGCTCAGCTCGAATTCGGCTCGGCTCGAATACTTAACGAGCACAATTCAAGCTCTTTTATTTTAGGCTCGAAGCTCGCGAGCCGGCTCGCAAGCTTTGATGTGTGTGTGTATACATATATTTGTGTGTGTGAATTATAAGAATTTGAAAAGGCATAGGGAAATTATTAAATAGGACATGAAGCTAAGATATCTACTTTTGAACATGAAACTAAGTTGAGTTCCTATATGGCACACCGTTTTCCCTTTTGTTTATTTTTTTTCTTTTTTGTTGCTTCTGTATTCCCACACCGAAATGGCTAGATGAAGCCCCCTCCTCTATTGTTATAAATATAGCAAATCTCCTGCTTAGGCAAGCAGCCTACACATACTCCGTGTGGGTGGATGGGAGGGTAAATTTAGAAAAGCCACTCAGAGAAGAAGACAAAGTATAAATTTAATGAATTATAATTTCTATTTGATTTTTTTGGGCTGTTTGGTTGATTTGTTGTCGAACTCGAGCCGAGCTCTCGAGCTTCGATAAATTACACGAGCCGAATTCGAGCTTAGGTATTTTGAGCTCGTCGATCTCGAGCCGAACTCGAGCTTGAAAAAAATTAACGAGCTCGATCTCGAGCTTATGCATGCTCGGGCTCGGATCGGCTCGATTACACCCCTAATGTGCAGTTCTGATTTAATGGTTTAATCGGGAAAAACATATTTTGTTTGTGTTTAATGACATATATTTAGTTTGTGTTTAATGACTTTATGGTGAATTTGAATGTTTGAACTACTACATAATACTATGTTATCTAGAAGACGTGTAATGCTATTGATGACTATTACTGTTGTTTTTTAATTAATCACTATTACTATTACTATTTGGTATATTACTCTTAATCTTGAATAACATTAAACAACGTAGTAATATTGAATGGTGACAGATGCATATGTGAAGTTCTATGGTGATTTCAATTGGTGCTTATACACAAATTTAAGAATAAATGATCATTTTTAATAGGTTCTATGCTCATTTCATTTGTTACTTATACACAATTTTAAGGACTGATCCCTGAAAGTTAAAAGCATTCAGTATGAAAGTAGGTCAACTTATTTTATTACTAAAAAAAAGCTGGGGAGTGTTTTTTCAAAGTATTAGTAAGTTAGGTATAATGGCATTGTGTGAGTAAAAGTGACTACGAAATGAAATAGCTAATTTTATGTAAAAGTGTCTTTTTGAAAAAATTGTAAATATTTGTGTTAATTTCGAAATAGTAAATATACACAATAATGATGATTGTATTGTTGAATGGTGACATTGAATTCATGAAGTTTATATTAATAATTATTACTAGTAAAGTGTATACGCAATAATTGAGGAAGCTCAGAGGCTGTGTGAGTCGCTTGGTGTTGGAATGAAACATATTTCAGAGAAATGAATTTAGTTGATCACAATCTCGCTCAGGTTGGTTTGTCGGTGGGTGTTTTTAGAAACTTTACCTCTTTTAACGACCTACCCTCTTCTATTATTTCTTTACTAGAACTTGACAAATGTGGGATTCCTACCTTTAGAAATTAATCTGTTTTATTTTTCAAAAAATAAAAGAGAGGTATTGGTTCGGTCACCCTCTCTATTTGTACTTCTCAACGATGATGAATAAACTTTTCTTTCTCTCTAAAAAAAGTGTATGCTCATTAAGTATGAAATTAGGTTAAGAACATTAAGTATGAAATTAGGTTTACTAAATTTCTTATTAAATACCAATTTGGGAAATGTTTTTTCAAGCAATATTCATTTCAATACTCATTTTGTTAACACCTGTTACGCATTATATTAGAAAGAATTACTCAAAAAAATATTATATCAGGGGAATGTATGATTCAATAAAAGTAAAAACAAAAACAAACACATAGAGAGAAAAGAACATGTAAAGTCTATAAGTGCACATTACAGAAACTAAAATGATAAGAAAAGGATAAAATATGTTCTTTTTTGAATAATAAAAAAAGTATGTAAACAAAAACAAAGCTTTTAAAAGTGTTTACAATTTTCAGGGTTCAATAAGTGAGGTACTTGGTGCAGTTGACTTTTTCCTTCCTCGGGCTTGATTTGATTTAATCTCAACAATACTTTTGCGCCGAACATTTCTTTCACCTTTTTTCCTTGAACCTTTGGGATTAGAAATTGTACCAACTCCAATTGAAGCTGAATCACTGTCTGAGAAGTAAATACTGCCAACTTGTTCTTCAACATCATGTTTCAATTTTTTGAATGACTCTTCACAAAGCAGCCTCGCTGACACATTAGAATCAATAGAACACAGAAGTTTGTGGAGTTTCCTTTGCATTTTCATTCTCCAAACAGAAGGCAAAACATTAGAAGTATTGGATAACATAGATGACTGACTCTGTTCATCTGACTTTGCTATTCGAGTCCAACGTTTTAAAACATAAGAATCAGGAAGAACTTCAACGCAGTGGATATGATATATACGAAGACAATGGCAGCACAAAATACCAACTTCTTGAAACCTCTTACATGAACAATCAACAAAATGTGATGTCGTGTTATACGAAACCCAATGTGAAAACTGATCAATATGAGGCATCCAAACTAAATATCGAATAACAGAACCAAAACAATGTTTAACCTCATGTTTCAAAGACATAGCACGGACAAACTCCTTCTCAAAAAGCTTGTAAGCATCAATCGTGTAAATTCGAGAAGCTTTATGTAATATACCAAGATGTGGGATTGATATCTCGGGGAAGCCATCCCAACAACGCTGTTGATCTGATCTCTCATTACTCCGCCATTCACTAACAGCTTCACAAAAAAAGTGATAGAAATCACAAAGAGAAGACGTTGCATTCAACTTTCTAGACAAAGAATTATTCATTGACTCGCTTCTTTGTGATGATAAAATGCCAGAAGAGAAGTAATCTTTTGAAAATGCTGGACACCATTTCTCCCTAAGTCCATATAGTTTCTTCAACCATGCATTTTCAGAACAATTGAAAGTGGTGACCATCCTGCAAAAATTAAAAGCAAAAAGAACAATAGTTTACTCATCACAATTAAGCCATTACTCATTTGTAAACAATTGACAGTGTAAATAATAAATTAATTAAAAAGAAAGAAAACAAGTGCAGTAATAGATGATACCTGTTCCAATAATAGTCAAGCTCAGAAAATGTATGACAAAGTTTCAAAACATGATCAAATAAGTCCAAAAAGCCTTCGTCATTCCTCAAGTCTCGTATATGTTTTTAGAGTTTTCAATGATGTGCCATATGCAAAGACGGTGTTTTGAACTAGGAAAGACCTTACATATAGCAGCAGCCATGGATGCAGACTCATCCGTCATAATGGTTTTTGGATGAACTGAATCCATTGAAGTCAAAAATGTGGTAAAGAGCCATTCAAAGGATTCAATGCGTTCATTCAACAAAAACCCACAACCGAACATACAGTTATGCGTATGATTGTTAATACCTAGAAAAGGACCACAAATCATATCGTACTTATTTGTACGATATGTAATATCATGAACAACCAACTCTCCAAATGCTAAATAGTCCTCTTTCATTTGCTTGTCTCTCCAAAAGAAGCTAACTAAAGAACCATCAGCATAAACTTCAAAAGAGAAAAAAAGTCTTCTTTATTTGTTTGTGTGTTCCTAAAGATATTAATCAAAGTATTTGCATCACAACCTTCAAAACTTTTTTTTTCAATTCATTGTAGACATCGCGCAGCACGAAACCAATTGAAGGAGAGCCACCTGCTTCAGCTTGTAAACAGCGGAAACCGTCAGCTATTTTTACTCCTCTATTTCTCAAATGATTCAAATATGTCAACTCAGAAGAAGAAACGTCACGATGAGACCTCACGTGATGAACTAAAGAACCAGAACAAAAAGAGTGATTGTGATCCATAAGATGTCTAACCACAACCCATTCACCATTGCTTCTAAACTCAAAATAAATTTTTGCTTTGCAACCTGTACGACGATCAACTTTGGTGAATACCTTACCCTGTACACCTTTATTTTTCTTAGAACCTTGTTTAGTGCAACAAAATTCTCTGCCTCTAACATCACAACAACCTTCTTTCTTCCGTAGAGTAGAATAACGAACGCCAAAGCCAATCCTAAAAGCATACTCATTATACAAATCAAAAGCTTCTTTCTCTGACAGAACAGTTTTTCCAAGAAGCTCAGAAACTTCAGCTTCTTTAACTAAAAGTGAAGAATCAGATTGTGGTATAGCATCAAAACTTGTAGAAGAATGGCTAGCTGAAAAAAAAAACAAAAGTTGAAGCTAAAATAAAATGATCTGGATCAAGGGAAAAGGGGAAAAAACTAAAAAGTGCAAATAAAATTCAAAACTAAGAAAAAGAGAGTAAGAAAAAACAAAAGGAATAACTGGAATCAACAACAAAGATTTCGCCTCTCGAGTCAATGTCTTCAATTACATGTCCAGTACAAGGAATTTCATCTGCAAAAAGGATAAACCAAATACATAGACATATTGCTCATTTAAACAAAACTATAACATCAAATGTGTTATCAATTAATCATACAAATAAAGTGAATTGATTAGTAGATAAATACCTGAAAAAATAGACATAACTGATCAACGTAAACCTACAGTAAATTTAAAAAGAGCTCATAATCTAGTGATCATATTAAAATACTGAAGAAAAATTAAAAAAAATTGCAAAAATCTAACGAAGAATAGATGAAGAATAACGAAGAATAGATGAAGAACTGTAGATCAGAAAACAAATGAATAGAATATAAGGATGAGATTCTTACCAAATTCGAAGACTACATATAACATATTTTGAATGATGATCGTTGTAAACAAAATTCGAAGGAAGATCACAACGAGGTGGAGAAGATGATCACTGTAAAAGCGAATTCAAAGAAAGATCACAACGAGCTGGAGAAGATGATCGCTGAAGAAGATGCTAGGATGCTAGAATGAACGTTGTAAAAGGCAGAAAAGAAAGATGATAGAAAGATAGACGACGCTAATTACATACCTAAAAGTTCAGTGAAATTACAAAATAACCGGATGTAAAAGTACACCGGGTGTACCATATAAATTGCGCTGCGTCTCATGGGGAATTAAAATACTCAGAGCTCATAAAAATCCGTTTGTAGACGATCTAACACCTTAATAATAATAATAATAATAGCAATAATAATAATAGTAAAAATAGCAATAATAGCAATAATAGTAATAATAGTAATAATAATAATAATAATAATGAAAATAATAATAATAACAATAATAATAATAACAATAATAATTATTATTATTATAACAACAACATTAATAATAAAAATAATAACAATAAATTAAAATAATAATAACAATAATAATAATAATAATAGTAATAATAGCAATAATAATAATAATAATAATAATAATAATAACTACTGCTGATGTTGTTGTTATTATTTTTATTTTTATTATTATTATTATTATTATTACTATTATTATTACTATTACTATTATTAGTATTACTATTATTATCACTATTATTATTATGATTATGAGATGTTAATTTTAATTAGTGTCATATGTATAATTATAATTATAATATTATTGTTTGTGTAATATTTATAATTATTAGGATTTTAATTACAATTATTATTATAATTATCTTTATAATTTTTTATAATTATTATTATATATGAACTATATTTTAATTATAATTATAATTATAGAAATATTGAAATTAGATCATATCAGAAAGATTCAGATCAGATCAGACCAGATTAGAAAGATTCAGATCAGATTAGATAAAAAAATTCAGATGAGATCAGATCAGAACTTAAAAAATTCAGACCAGAAACATTCAGATAAGGTGAAGAGAACAGCTTATAGGTCTTAATTAACCTTGGGATATTTGAGATTTCTAAATATGATTTTGAGCTTTTGGATTATCCATTCTACTCCCTCCGTCCCAATTTGTAAGATACTTTACGGTTTACGATGTTTGACCGACGATAAAGTAAATTGATCATTGTCAACACTCAAATTTGTTTTGGAAAATAAAATTTACATATCCAGAAACTACATTAAAACCGCTACAAAAGCAGCAAAAAATAATTCAAATTTCATAAACTTTTAATGTATAAAGTAAAAGATTAAGAGTGATTTATGTTGACCGAGTGAATAGTAAATGTACCTTACAATCTGAGACTGAGGAGTAATATAGTACGTGTCCCATCCACAGCATATTTGTTTATAAACCATTGTCTGTTGAAATATATGGGAGTATAAGAAATGAAGAAATTAATTTTTGGACGGAATCATGTGAAATTCTTTGAAGTACTACGTTACAATTTTTATTTTGAGAAATTAAGAATATACTCCGAAACATTTCCACAAGAGAAATGAAGTAAATAAGCTCAATCCCAAACTATTAGCAATTCTGCAATTGAGCCCTTGAATCTGAAGACGTTGCAAATACATCCTTTGAATCATCGAAATAAGGCTATCAGCCCTTGTTTACCTGTTGGTGTCGGTAACTTTTCACGAGAAGGGTTACTGTCTTTCCGGTTGGTGCCGGTTTTAGCGCTTATTTTAGTCACTCGAGAAGGGCATGGTTGCAAAATACTGTCGTGCGAGTACTTATTTGCTTCTTTTATTCTTCCAAAAAAAAAGTAAATCGGCCCCAACTTTTGTTATGCATTTTGTGTAGTAAATTAAATTCCTTCCACTTGTAACAATGAGATCTCTCATAAAAAACTGCCCATACAAACCACCTTTAAAAGTGACCATACCGCATAAATCTCCTGTCCATGAATAGTTGGATGCCTTAATTTGTATTCCATCACATGCATTTCTATTGAGAACTTTACTTTCATGTGTAACTTAACGTCTTAATCACTTTTTCTACTCTGTCTAGAAACAGATATATCAACATACATCATGTTTTAATTTTTGAGCCAACATGTTTAATTATCATCTGTGATAACACCATTCGATTTTAAAAAGGTGTTGCAAAACTAAGTGTTAACATATGATGGAATCCACAAATGGACATTTATCACCAAATGGTTATAATAATCAGGTTCAATCTTTGTCAGATCCTTCATTTGATTCTCCATTACATGTCCCCAATTTTCCAGAACCTTCAAGAAAGTATCAATGTAGCAATAATGGAAGTCCCTTTAGTGTCATGAGAACAGATGGTTGTCCTAAGAAAGGTTTCATCATACACATAAAAATCAATAACAGATTCACATTATTCTTGAGTTTATGAGTTTACTGGAATACCTTTATATTGTATCCTTATCATCATTAATGTACACATACGCAGGTGAGGTTGGAGGAAAAGGAACGCAAGGAGAGCCGCTTGATATTGATAATAATGGTGGTGTCCTAGAGCCAGATGATCTAAATTACACCAACAATGAGGTATTTTATGCTTTAAAACATTCTATAATGATTTTCATATGATGTTCTAAGTTATGGACATCTTGCAATCTTAAATCAAATCAAATTCAAGCAGATTACATTTGTTAGACTAAGCCGGATGAGCAATGCATAATTGATGTAGTTTATGGGTCGGAATCCACACCCCATATCTTTAAAATAACTCCTAAGAAAATTTACACAATACTAGACTCAAGATGAGAAGATATAAGTAGACCACACAATTGGAAAAGATTTGTTATAATTACTACTCTTGTATATAACCTCTTATCGTTTTTTTAAACTGTGAGACATCAAAGTCTTAACTTTTATAATTTGTAACTCTATTTTTCTTGATCAGCATAATGAGCAATCCACAATTGGTGCAAGAACATCTCAAGAATTTAAGGAGTATAAGAAGAAGGTGACACTAATCTTGGAGGAGTACTTTGAGAATGATGACATAAGTTCAACTGCAAGTGAACTGAGAGAATTAAGAATGCCTGACTACAACTTCTATTTCGTCAAGAAGCTTATATCCATGGCAATGGACAGGCATGACAAGGAGAAAGAAATGACCGCGCTCCTGCTCTCCTCGCTCTACGTAGATCTAATAGAACCCCAGCAAGTTTACAAAGGTTTCACCAAACTACTGGAATCCGCCGATGATCTAATCGTGGATATCCCCGACACAGTTGAAGTTCTCGCTCTGTTCATAGCCCGAGCGGTGGTGGACGACATTCTTCCACCCGCTTTCCTGGCTAAGGCTACTTCCTCTTTACCACCTGAGAACTGTAAAGGAATAGAGGCTATAAACAGGGCAAAGAAGAGCTACCTATCGGCTCCCCTTCATGCTGAAGTGATTGAGAGGAGGTGGGGTGGGAGCACGAAGAGAACAGTTGATGATCTGAAGGGGAAGATAAACATTTTGCTGAAAGAGTATGTGGTGAGTGGAGACAAGAAAGAGGCTTTCAGGTGCATTAAAGATCTGAATGTTCCTTACTTCCACCATGAGATTGTGAAGCGGGCGGTGATCTTGAGCATGGAAAGGGTGGCGGCGGAGAGCAGGGTTTTGGAGCTGCTGAAGACAGCGTCCGAGGAAGGGCTTATCAATTCAAGCCAAATCACAAAAGGGTTTACTAGGATCATTGACTCTATTGATGATTTATCTCTTGATGTACCAAATGCGAAGTCCATACTCCAAATGCTTATATCCAAGGCCGCTTCAGAGGGGTGGCTATCAGCCTCCTCTCTGAAGTCAATATCATCTGTTCATCCTCCTCACTTCGGTAACTACCTTGCATTCAATTACTCAGTCTTAAAAGTCATTTTTATCAAGGAAATGGGACTAGAGAAACTAAGCTAAGGCTACTTTTGGGTACCCAAAAATGCATCAATATCAATAAAGAAGGTACTCCATAATATTCATGCATCTTTCCTAATTTCCCCTATAATTTTCTATAACCATATCCTATAGGGAAGCAGAATGTTGCAGCAGAGAGCAGCACAGTGAAGCGTTTCAAGACGAAGGCAGAATCCATAATTAAAGAATATTTTCTGACCGGTGACATTTTAGAAGTGAGTAGGTGTCTTGAATCAGAGATCAACAATAGCAGTTGCTTTCAGTATTCTTCCGAGCTGAACGCCATCTTCATCAAGAAACTGGTGAGCCTAGCAATGGACCGGAAGAACCGAGAGAAGGAGATGGCGTCCGTCCTGCTATCCTCCCTATGCTTCTCAACGGAGGACACGGTGAGCGGTTTCACAATGCTGATCGAGGCGGCGGAAGACACGGCTATAGACATCCCGGGGGCGGTGGAGGATCTGGCGATGTTCCTAGCCAGGGCGGTGGTGGACGAAGCTCTGGCCCCACAACATCTAGAGGAATTAGGAGGAGGAACCCAGAACAATAACAATCATAAAGTGGTGGGTATGGCGAAATCACTGCTAAAGGCGAGGCTTTCTGGCGAGAGAATCTTGAGGTGCTGGGGGGGAGGCGGGAACGGGACGAACGGGTGGACGACGGAGGAGGTGAAAGAGAAAATTGCGAAATTGCTGGAGGAATTCGAGTGCGGCGGTGACTCGAGAGAGGCTTGCCGGTGCATAAAGGAGCTGGGGATGCCTTTCTTCCACCATGAAGTGGTGAAGAAGGGGGTGGTGAAAATGATGGAGAAGAGGTCCGGCGGCGGCGGCGGCGAGAGGGTGTGGGGTTTGCTGAGAGAGTGTTTCGGGACAGGGTTGGTGACGATGAATCAGATGATGAAGGGGTTCGTGAGAGTAGGAGAGTCGTTGGATGATCTGGTTTTGGACGTGCCTGATGCTCGAGACCAGTACCGGTGCTATGTTGACCGGGCTAAGATGGAAGGATGGTTGGACCGCACTTTCAATCCTCACTTTAGTGCCACTCCTGTGGGCTATTAGATAAAAAAAAATGTACACTTATTTTTTGAGAAAATTGTTCATAATAAGACATTTTCATAGACTTTTGATTAAAATAAGACCAACTTAAATGTATTACTTCTGTAAGTCAAATATATTCCTAATTTAGGAAACTTAAAATCACTTTTCCTAAAATACCCCTGGGTGTTTATATCCCTTCTATTCGTACTGCTAACGAATTAACAGCCCTCGACTTTGTCTTCAAGCTTCGCTAACGAATTTCACGCTAGCTCCCTCTTCAAGCTTCGCTTTGGACTTCGTCGACGTTGTATCAAAAACTCGAACTCGGTTTGCATCAATTTCAATTCAGAATCAATTTCGGATTGGAGTTATTGTTCTCTGCAAAATCCCTGTCCAGCTTCATCACAGTTTGTTGATCGTTCCTTCTGCGATTTTTCCATTGTAAGTTTCCAAGTTGTCTTAAAATTTCATTCTAATTACTTTTTTGTAGTTCAATATCTTTGATTTTAGTTTGTTTATGAATTCCATCATTAAGTTTCCTTCACAGTCTGACATTATATTTCTCTGAAACTATATGTATAACACTTTGAATTTTTGTCTTCTTTTTATCACTTTTGTATGTTGTACGTACTTCAACATGCTTCTGCAACAATAGCTTTTGCTCTTAATATGTTGTTTAGTTGTTCTCTTTTTGTTCTTATACCTTTTATTTTAATTTGGTTATTTGTTGTTATGTTTTTTGTTCTTATAACTTTCAGTTTAGTTTTTATTACTATTTTGTTGCTGTTGTGTTATTATTTGTTTTTCCATTGATTTGTTCAGACATAAATACCTTATATATGGATCTATTTTGTGATCTATTTTGTCCAGATCCGCACTCACTTCTCCAGATCTGATCGTGCTAGTATGGTCCACGAATTGTTCTGAAGCATACGGATTGTTCGTCAGCTCTCAGTTAATTCGATCAGTTCCCGATTTAATTGGGTTGGTTTTTCTATGTTTCACATTCATCATCTATCTCTTCTTATCTTGGCATATACTGATTTCTATCTTGGATTACCCCTTTTACCATTGTCTCCTATAAAAGGGAGATGAAATAAATTGGTTTGATGTGTATATCTCTTGAGCTGAGATGATCGAGTGTATTACGATTGTGCTTGAACTAATTTTGAGAGTTCTCTCTTAATAGGTACTATGGCCACGCAGATGAAAGAGTGTGTCCATGAAGTCTCTCTTTATAGGCCTGCAATTGTCAGTTAAGGGAATTCCTGTTACCTTCTCTGCTATTCTGGTATTATCGCAACTTATTGTCTATTTACTGACTACTTACTGTCTATGTATTGTCTAGTGTTTGCAAGTTTGATTTTGTTAATCTAAAAACAAAGTATGTTCCCGTTGTGAGTTTTGCCTGGAATAGTCCATAAGTGTTCATGGCGTTGGAACTGTGAGTCAAAGTCAAGGATTGTATTGATATGATTACATCTCAAGGATTTATAGTGTGGCTGGTGCACCCCATTTATTCTTGCTTTCATGGGAAGTTTCCTAATTATATATAGTTCATAACGTGCAACTCATCTAAATGTCTCACACGCCAACCCTTAGATACAAAAAGCAGTGCATACATTCAGCTAGTATATATAGTTGCATCAATGTTCAAGGTGTAAGAAATGAGGACACAATTGAAGTCTTGCAGGAATTCTATTTAAGTTCATTGTTCTCAAATTCACAAATCATAATGTCCTGTCACTTTCATTTTAATTCATACAATAAGTGTGTGAGACTTTTAGTTTGTTTTCCTCACAGGAAGCTAGAAAAAAATAAAACTATCCTCTCTGAACATTTTGAGGCCAAGCTTTGTACCTTCCATGAGCCTTCATTGATCTTGGTAAATTAGTTACTTGTTTAGAACTATTATTCACAATTGCTTTTTATTTATTTTTTCATAATAGACTTTTACTTATTGTTATTTCCTTTGATATATGCATTTTAGGTTACTACGCATGAGTTTGAAGTTGTTGAAAAAAATCTCCCGAAGCTTTGTATGAGATAGGTGTTGAGAATTGGACACAATGTTATTGTACTCCCACTAGGTACCACCAACATGTCGTACACGTCTGCTAATTGAAGACAAGAGGTTACTGAAGTGCTAATTGAAGACATGAGGCTGGCAGGCTATTGAAGTGCTGATCGAACACAACAATCTGTTGATTGTACTCATAAGTCTATTTTTAGCTTCAAAAGAAATGTATAGATCTTTATTTTCATATTCATGTGATTTGTATTGTACCTATGCATGAGAAATATATTCAAATTTCATTTCAACATTTGAATCTATCAAATTTCATGTTGCTTCTTTTTTTTGTACTAAAGTTTGTACTTATATTTACGTCTGAATAAATTTAATCTCTACGCCTGAGACACTAAGGACTTTTTACTGCCTACTTATGGACTGTATTGCTTACTTCAACCAGAATGATAAATCAACTCAACACTGAATAAGAGTGACCAAGCATTTGATAATTGATATGCCACTAAAAAGAAGATTACATATAGTAAAATCAACTGTCACCAATATTTTGGAACAACGCTTAATGACCAATTAAGAAATTTTTGTTCTTCTATTATTTTCAAGTTACTGCACATGAATTTGAAATTGTTCTTCTGTTATGTTCATGTCTTGTTTTTGAACTTGAGCATTTCATCTATGTTAATGGAATTGCGACGGTCGGTCACCATCAAGGCTTATCATGCTATGAAAATATGCACTTTATTAATTCCGAATTAGATTGGGAGATTCCACATCATATGAGATCAGTTACGTTGTATGTAAATCATCTACTTTGACAGACTTAAAATGCAGAGCATGTCAGTGGCACGAGTCCAGTCATTGTGGGCGTGCCACCAGATGGTGCCTTCCTCAACTGAAAGCAATATTCTCTGGGTAAACTTGGTTCCTGGGTGGATGGGGCACTGGGTTATGAACTCAGGACCGTCCGGCCATGGATTCCTCAGCTGTTTCACGCCATGCCAGTGAATCGTTATGTTTTGAGTTCCCTTATTGTAAACATCAACTATGACGATGTCTCCTTTATTGGCGTAGGGAACAGGCCCTGGGAATTGTCCATTCACTGTTAAGATCTTCTTACTGTTGCACAACCTCGTGTAAGCTGTTTCTGCAACCTGAATTCATTCGATTGAGTTGATGAGTACATAGAATATGTCATCAATATATGGAGGACTAAGGATGTTTTCTTTTGGACTGAAATTTGTTGGTCTGATCTGGTTTGATCTAGTTCGGTCTGATGTTAACCGATCTGGTCTGGTCTGGTAAATGTCTAGTCTTTGTGTATTTTATAATTAGGAAGTCTGATCTTGTCTAGTCTGGTCTGATCTAGTCTGATCTGGTCTGATTTGGGACTGAAAAGAGTCCAAAAAAAGCATCCTAACCATTGACTTTAAGATGAAATAAAATCTGTCCATACATGCTAACTCCATGTAGGTGGAGGGCCACACATTTTGTATTAAGGGTATTATAAAAGGTTACAACTCCGTTACCCATTCAAAAAGTGGGGTATCGTACATACCACTCACTTGATTGATTCAAATCATTACATCATTTTTAATTTAGATTTAAATAATTCAACTACATCATTCTGATTGGTCCATATGGACAAAGGTATGGTACCTTAAGGGTACCATAGAATTTACCATTATAAAATACTCCATCCTAAAAAAGTTCACCAAATTAACTTTTCTTGGTCAATAACAATAAACTTAGATCAATGATATCTTTTAATACGAAATTATTTTGAATATAAAAATTATATCAACACGTTCCTTATTCAAAATATAATCATGAAAGTATAAATTTTAAAATTATATGCAAATATCAGTGTTCTCAAAGGCCCATTAAGGCGCCGCAAAGGCGGGCCTAGGCCCAAGGCGTGACCTTTACGCCTCGCATAGCCCAAATGCGTGACCAAAGGCGTCTCAGCCTACCAAATATAAAATTTTAACTATAATTGTAAGCCCAATGAATATTAAGGCCTCTAAGTGAACGAATAAGAAGTTGGCCACTTAAGCTTCACTAAGTGAGGAAGGCTTCTTCTCCTTCCGGTGTGGGAAAAAGACCTTCTAAATGCAAAACTAATCTCCAAATAAAACCCTAGATTGGCCGGGCAAATAGCACCAAGGTCAAAAGCGGTTTTCAACTAGTCTAGAACCAATACTTTAAGAGTGGTTGTTTCATAACCATAAATTACCAACTCTTACTTTTTATATACTAGATGCATAAAATAGGTGTTGTTTTGGTAATTTAGAAGTTTATTTTTGTTGGAAAATGAAACAGTGTTATAGTTTGCATGATATTTTATAATATTACATTTACATATTTACTAACATATCTATAAAATTTAGATCAGTTTGTGAAAAACTGAAACGCCTTTTTACGCCTAAGCCCCGCTTAAACTCGCCTAGGCTTCAAAGGTCTAAGGCTCGTGCATGCCGCCTTGTCACGCCTCACACCTTTTAGAACACTGACAAATATCATTATTAAAATTAGGAAAAATTGAAAATAATAATTCCAACTATTACCGGTCCGCTAATTAAGTTGGGATTATTGTTATAACAATAATCCCAACTATTGATTATTTTTGTATAATCCCAACTATATGGACCGTCCGCCAATAATGGTCCATGACCAAATATTACCTTCTATAAAAGTGAATTTTAAATAGAAATTAAGCTTAAAAATTAAAAGTTAGGGATTATTTATAGGGATTACTTGCTATATCTCTTCTCATCCACTTTAGAAAGTACATAAACTTATTTAAAGGGACTATTA